CATACTATGTTCTACATAAAAATTACTATGTCAAATTCTAGAATTCCCTAGGCTTCCTGGCAATGTCCTATGGAGAGAAAAAGTTTGCTTCCTTGAATTTTCACTAAAATCACCCAAGACTAAATTCCCTAAGTCCCTTCCAACACCTTCTTACTCCACAGGATTTCTTTTTTTTTTTTTTTTTAGCTTGTTGACTTTTTTTAGGATTTTAGTTTTTTTTGTTGTAATGCATCAATAAGCCCAATTTTTCATGATTTGGGGTGTATTTATCTTAATCTTTGGCTGCAGACTGTGGGACTGTTATAAATATTAAATTGATTAATGCACAGTTTGCATTTAAAACAGCATCTGGCATATAGAAAGTTTAAGCCATCATTACTTTTAAACGCAGTCAAAATGCCTCATGGAATGTCAGTATTCATATTTAGGTATGTTTATTTTATTTATTTAACAAATGTATTTTTATTCAGCATCTTCTACATTTTAAACCCATTGCTATGTACATGGATATAAAGAAATGATAGTTTTCCTGTCTTTAAGTTAAACAGTAGACACCTGTGGATTTCCAGGACTATTTAAATTTTCCAGATAACTCCTTCTTACTGTTCTCTGTACCACTGCACAGAGATAATTACTCAGCCTCCCTTACCTTCATACCTCTACAGTTCCACAGGCACAGATCTCTGTTACATGGAAATCATCATGGATAGTTGAAGATAATAGGAGGGAATTTCATTGCAAATATAATGTAACCTAAAACAAGACATGAGGGGTCCTTATAAACAAAAATGGCCATCGTCAGAGAGATTACTAACAGATAAGAGCAATTTTCTAGTTTATATAGCCAATTGAGTATATTCCTGCTCATTGGGTATAATTATAAACAGGGACTCTTCCCTGTCAAGCATATCTTGGTTTGGATGGTAAATTTTGCAGTTCCCTTGTTTAGTGGTCATCACTCTTTTTGATACCTCATCTTAAAATTGGGGTCCACTTTTCCATCTCTGCTCTCTCTTTTCCATTACAGGCACCACAAATGACATCGAAAGACCAAGCAAGCAATCACTCTTACAATCTATTATTTAGAACCATTTCATTTCATATTCATCTTAACACGACTTATCCAAAAGATAGGATGGTTGTCCTCCTAGGACGAATATGTTTCAGTACTTCCTGGAATAGTTGGAATAAATGGCAGCTGGATTCTAATACCACAACAATGTTTTATAACACAAGTTTTATTCAATAAAATATTGGTAAATTTTCATCAGTGATATAGTAAGAATACATATAGCATTACTTTCTTGATAATATTGTAGTCCACTATATTACTATAACATAATTTGTTAATATATTAATTTTTTACTGTTCCAAAAATGTTTTAATGATGGCATTTCTACAAATTTCTTTATATTATTTTCTTTTTTTTTCATTATTGCTCCAAAAAAATGAAACACATGTGCAGAACGTGCAGATTTGTTACATAGATATACATATTCCATGGTGGTTTGCTGCACCTATTGATCCATCCTCTAAGTTCCCTCCCATCACCCCCCAACCTATGCAACAGGCCCTGGTGTGTGCCTTTCCCCTGTCTGTGTCCACGTGTTCTCAATGTTCAACTCGCTTTTATGGGTGAGAACATACAGGGTTTGGTTTTCTGTTCCTGTGTTAGTTTGCTGAGGATAATGGCTTCCAGCTCCATCCATGTTCATGCAAAGGACATGATCTCATTCCTTTTTATGGCTGCATAGTATTCCATGATGTATATGTACCACATTTTCTTTTCCAGTCTATCATTGATGAGCATTTGGGTTGGTTCCATTTCTTTGTTATTGTAAAAAGTGCTGCACTAAACATATAAGTGCATGTATCTTTATAGTACAATAATTTATATTCCTTTGGGTATATACCCAGTAATGGGATTGCTGGGTCAAATGGTATTTCTGGTTCTAGATCCTTGAGGAATCGCCCCACTGTCTTGTACAATGGTTGAACTAATTTACATTTCCATCAACAGTGTAAAAGCGTTCCTATTTCTCCACAGCTTCGCCAGCATCTATTCTTTCCTGACTTTTTAATTATTGTCATTCTGACTGGCATGAGATGGTATCTCATTGTGGTTTTGATTTGCATTTCTCTGATGATCAGTGATGTTCAGCTTTTTTTCATATGTTTGTTGGCCACATAAATGTCTTCTTTTGAGAAGTGTCTGTTCGTATCCTTTGCCCACTTTTTGATGGGGTTGTTGTTTTTTTCTTGTAAACATGTTTAAGTTCCTTTTGCATTCTGGATATTAGACCTTTGTCAAAAGGGTAGATTGCAAAAATTTTCTCTCATTCTGTAGGATGCCTGTTCACATTGATAATAGTTTCTTTTGCTGTGCAGAAGCTCTTTAGTTTAATTAAATCCCATTTGTCAATTTTGGCTGTTGTTGCCATTGCTTTTGGTGTTTTAGTCCTGAAGTCTTTGCCCATGCCTATGTCCTGAATGGTAATCCCTAGGTTTTCTTCTAGGGTATTTATAGTTTTGGGTTTTACATTATTTAATTTGGGGATCAAAGTAAATGCACATTTAAGGCTCCTGATACATATTGCCAAACTGTCCTCCAAAGAGCTTTTATCAATTATAGGCCCTCCAATAGTAAATGTGACTTCCTATCTTGCTTAGATTTAATTGCTACGAATCACTAGTGACATTGATTATAATAAATATTTTAAATATTTTCCAATAATGGGTATATTTAGTTATTTGCATTTCTGATTGTTAGAAGTGTGAACATTGTTTGACATGTTCATTTATTATGTATTTCTTCTTTGGTGATTTACCTAATCTTATTATTTGCACACTTTTATTTCTGTGATTGTTTCGATAATTACTCTTTATATGTAAGAATATTAATGCTTTGTTTTATAGAGAGAACAAACATTTCACCAGTTTATATAATTATTATAATTAAATCATGCAAGTATACATTTTTAAAATTTTATAATGTCAAATATGTTGATCATTTTTAGCACAGATTCAGGGAGTTCCAGGTGTGAATTTATTAGATCTTCATATTATCACCTCTCAGTTTCCATGTTCATGGTCAATCAATTAAGGTTAAATTAGATAATGCCTGCAAGGGATTTGAATTTCAGTGCTTAGAAATTTGTAAAGTCTCAGTCAATAATTACTGAGTTACTTTTTAATAATGCTTCTTCAACAAAGTAATGTATTTATTTAACCTTATTATCTTTCAATGCTTTAGTGGTTCTTGTTTATATTTTAAGTCTTAATTAGAATAGAATTTGCCTTTTATATATGGTAAAACATTATTTATGTACACTTATTTTATTCATAATGCTCAGTACTCCAGAATCATTTTTTAAGTAAATTACATTTTTCCAAATTATTTAAAATGTAATTTCATAATAGACTGCATACAGTTCTCCCTCCCGACACATGCACTTTCATGCACACACATGAACACAACACACTTTGATCTGCTTTGTATTTTTTGTTCTGTAATAGGAACGTGTCTATTCTGGTTTTAGTATGATACTTGACACTTTAATGATTTTATCTTGGTGCAACATCTTTAACACTGTAATTTATTTTCAAGAAATTATTTGCCTTTTAGACAAGTTTATTCTTCAAAATATATTTTGGAATTATTTCATCAAAGATCAGAATAAATATAACAGCACCTGAGTATTTTTATGATAATTCTTTAAAAATAAACTAGTGTAATTTTTATTTCAGATTTGAGATTTTCTTAAGACTCTTGTTATCCTAAACAGATTTTTAATATAAGATAGATATTTTAATAGTACGTTTTGATGATCTATTAAAAATGTGATTCGTCTGTCACAGTCTTAAAATTTTCAACTATTACAGAATGATGTCACCTACTGAATAAAGAGTCCCATTTTTTGAAGAACTTAAACTTTCTCCTTACAGGTGTAAGAGAGATTAATACATCTCTATGTAGTAAGCACATTGAAATATACACCATAGCAGGATTTTAGAGGTTATTAGCTATTGTCTTTAGAATATCAGTATAAAGCTCTGTTACAAAGCACTGTTTAAAAGAAAACAATGAAAAAGAAGAACAAAGTTGACTAACTACACTATATGACTAAGACTTGCAATATGGCTCCAATATCAAGACAGTATATATTGGCATAAATATAGACATAGAGATAAATGCATCATAATAGGAAACCAGGTTATACCTACCAATATTTGGGCAACTGTTTTTGGAAAAGGTGTAAATGTACTTCAATGGGGGAAAGATAGTCTTTTCAACAATTGCAAATAATTGAACCTCTATCTATACCTTGAACCATACTCAAAAATTAACTTAAAATGAATCATAGATATAAATTAAGCTAAACCTACACATTTCTAGAATATAACATAGAAGAAACTCTTTGTGATCTTGGGCTCAGAAAAAATTTCTTAGAAAAAATAAACAATGCACAAATTATAAAAGAAAAAATGATAAATTAGACTTCATTAGAATTAAAAGCATTTACTCTTCTTAAAGTAACTATTTTTAAAGGTTTAAACAAGTCACAGACAGGAAGAAAATATTTGCAAAACAGAGTTGACATCGTATTTGTTCCTCCAATGTATTTTAATAAACTTAGAACTCAACAGTAAGAAAACGATCAAATTTTCAAAAAGAGCAAAAGATTCGAAAAGACACTTTACCAAAGAAAAAAGCCAAATGACAGACAGGCAACACAAAACAATGCTCAACATCATTATTGACTGGGGAAATAGAAATTACAATAAAATTCCACTACACAAAGCTTAAAATAGCTCATGAGGATGTAGAGCGACTGGAAATCTCAGACATTGCCTATGGGAATGCAAAAAAAGTAGTCCCTTTGGAAAACAGTCTGGTAGTTTCTGCTTAAGTGAAACATACAAACAAATATATTTATGACCCGCTATGTATTTACCCAGATAAATGAAAATATAGGCCCGTACAAATATATATACATGAATGGTTATAGTGATTTTATTCATAAATGTTAAAAACTGGACACAACACAAATGCCTGTTAACTAGTGAATGAATAAACAAAGTACTTCCATTCAGTGTAATACAATTTATCACTAAAGAGGAATTAACATGCAAAAATGCAGATACATCTTAAAATAGCGCTAGGAAAAGAAGTTTACACAAAAGACCACATACTGTGTGATTACAATGTTATGACATTTTAGTAAAGACAAACATATGACGACAGTAATGTCAGTAGCAGCCAGCCAGGTTGGGAAAGTGGATTGACCATAAACAGTCATGAAAATATTTTTCTGTTGACTGTGGTGGTGGTTACACACTTAGAATATTTGTCAAAACTCATAGAAAATGGTGCCTCCTCATGTAAGTTATACTTCAATAAACTTGACCTTTAAAAGAGTAGAGAATGATGCCTTGACTAAAGGAGATACTGACCTTGTAACTTGGGTGGAGTTTTCTAACTTTGAAATCTCAGTGTACCTATCACACTATTGAAAATAATCGTAGCGCATACAAAATGCTTGACATAGAGCCTCCTTCTGAGTAAGTGTTAGTTATCATAAAAAGGATGTGATGATCATATCCCACTTAGCAAGAGGAGTGAGGAGTGGTAATGAGGTAAGTTAAAGTGCACAAATGTTAACTCTTTTTTTAAGATGAACAGGAAAAACCCATGTACCCAACACTTTTGAAGCTAAGTCTTATCTTGTCAAATAGATTCAAATAGAAGATTCTCACAGCTTACAGAAGGTAATTTAAAAAGTTTCATTGCCAACACAGGAAAAATATAAACTATAAATATATGTGTGTGTATCATATACAGTTTGTTAATTGAAGTGTGAATGCAGTAGAAAGAGGGTATGAGTAATAGGTGGCTTAAGCCAAATTTAGTTTAGTCATATCCTTGCTCTGCCAATATACCTCAAGTTTAAATGGTATCACTGAAGCTGTTTCAGACTTGAATTGCTCCAAAGCATTATTCTTGTGCCAACTGGGCTGAAATCTGGTGGTAGTTTACTTCTGCAGCCAGATAGGCAGTATCTTTTATGTTTTATTTATTTATAGTATCACTTAAGCCATGCATAACTTTATATGCACTTATAAAGCTAAACTCACAATTTGTGAAGCAAACTTATGATGGGATGTAAGCAGTTTACAATGTGAAACACATTATTGGATAAGAAAAGTTATTAGAGAGAGTGTAGTAAATTAAACATTCAGCCCCACACAAGCTATTTGATTGCTACATGGAACAAGTAACGCTAGAGGTCTTAACCAATTTTTGTGACTTTTTCATGGACAAATTTATTTCAAATTTGACTCTGATTCCATAAATTTAGCTCCTCACTGCACCCAAGTAATGATGAGAAAATCCTCTTCTTTTCCTAGAATCTAATAACAGAAAACAAATGCTAGTTATCTGTCACCCATTCAAGAGGCAGATTCGTGGTAAAGACCCAGATTATCTATGACCTCCAAAGCTATAGGGATTTTTTGTTTGTTTTTCCATTACACCTTATGACCTTTCTTTAGAATACTTATCCTATTAAGGAGATGGATAGTATATGTTTACAGTGTGGCTATACTCATTTTTTAAATACTCAAGGATTTGAATTTTTAAATGGTAGATTTATAATTGGTATTTTTATTTACCATTTAACATTTAATGACAATGAATTATGAGCTCAAGTGCCTAGGAAATGTCTCCTCTTGTCCATAGATCATAAACAACTTGACTTAAGGGATAAGTAATGGTTAGTTTGAAATCTTCCGTTAAGAATAACTGCTCACTGAAAATCAATAAAAAAATGAACTCACATAGTTTTGTGATTCTGATGCAATCTAACAGAAGTTATTCAAGCTATTATAAAATAAGCCATCAATTAATATTATGAGTAGTTGTAATTATGAAAGCAACATAACCACAGTACAGAGGAAATAGTTGCCATAATTTCATTCCCCTAAGACAACTATGGTCGTTTTATAGCCTTTTAAATGTGAATGCAACTTTTGCAGTGTAGTCTTTTACAAAGTAAAACAGACCTGAATTTCTATAAAGCTCCACCAACTATGACCTAATGGCCCCTAACTTTTGACCAGTGAGCTAAGAATGATTTTTATGATGTTAAATAGTGAAAATTGAAAACAGAAAAATATTTCATGCCATGTGAAAATAATATGAAATTTAAATTTCAGTGTTATAATTTTTTGAAATACAGGCATGCTGATCTATTTATGTATTGTCTGTGGCTGTTTTTGTGCTACATGGGGCTGAAACTAGGCTAAGGCAATTTAGGTACTCACCTCAGGCACAGAACCTAAGGGTGGGGAGGGGTGCAAAAAGTTCAGTCATGAAGATAAATCATATCTAATGCAATATGTTAAAAATTAAAATTAATTCAAAAGAAGTTATAAGCAAAATATCTAAATATTATTAAGACAGCATAAGTTCTACAACAACAGAACTGAGCAGTTGTGACCAAGACTGTATCACCTGCAAACCTAAAATATTAACTATATTTAGTTTATTTGCTAACTCTTACTCTACAACATTTAGGCCTTAGAGTTATTTTCATATTTCCTCTTAACAGTTTCTACTTTAGAATATAATGTAGATTAGTAAAGTTTTGTTTGACAAAGATATTCCTTGCCAAAGACTCTTTGTCAATCAGAAAAGAAAAAATAAAATAAAATAAAATATATGTGGACAATAATATGGCAAGCATAAACTCTTTTTTATTCTTACTGTGGTTTTCTTAAAAGGAGGAGGAGAAAAAGGAGGAGCAGGAGTGGAGAAGAAGGAAGTCTTAGGCTGCATGACCCGGAAGATATTCTGTGGAAAGGGTTGATTTTATCTAATATGATACCAAATAAGATACAAGCGTGGGAGGCCATAAAGGCTTATAAAGACCATCACTCACCCATATTTACCGAACAATGGTTGTTCTAAAAAAATTACTTTTCCTTTAATGTTCTGTATTGAGTATTCTCCACCATAATCGCACTCTGAATAAGTTAAAGATGTGAGGCACCAAGCCTTAGATATTATCTAAACTCTTAACAACAGAGGAATAGACTCTGCCAAGCCTCAGGCTACACTTCTCCATTATTTTCAAAAACTAGTTACCTAATGACAGTTGCTTGGACATTAAGCCTAATGCTAACTATTGGAGATACTTCATACCCTGTCATATACTTAAATATCAGAGGGAATATTCTAAAAACCTGATTTCTAAAGATTACTTTAGAAATTCTTACTTGTTTCTCTGAACTCTAATTTTTTCACACATCAGTTTTTATAAATAATTTGCTTCTTACTGCCATTAAGAAGGGGTAAGCTGACAGTTTCTCATATTTGCTCAAAGAAATCTTTGACACCAGTTTGTCAGAAGTCTTTTATTACTGTTGAGAAACTTGAGAAAAATATTTCCTGGAAAACACACTCAGGATTCCCTGTCCCTTGGGAGTCATTCTGCTTTAGGAAGATTCTGTTCTGTAACAAGGATTCATGTGCTTGTTACCAATGCAAAGTTATGTTTTACCTGCTTTTCTAAAAACAGGAAGATTGCATAATATTTTATTTTTATTTTTTTCCTAAAATGGAAGTGGTAATTAAGCACAATATTTTAAAATCGTATTCTAGTTTTGTAAACAAAAATGTTTAATTCTACAGATTTGCAACAAATTAAAGAATGAAAATTTTTGTATTGTCATCGTATTACTACATATAACTGACATTTAGCTGGACGCAGTGGCATGCACCTGTAGTCCCAGCTACTTGGGAGGCTGAGGCAGGAGGATCACTTGAGCCCAAATTCAAGACTGTATCACACTACACTTGTGCCTGTAACTAGCCACTGCACTCCATCCTGGGCAACATAGTGAGATCCTGTCTCTAAAATAAAGTGACGTTTTATTTTTGCAACTGTGGTAAACACTGAAGGACTTTACACATATTTGTGATTTTAAATTGTTTATTTACCTATCAGAGGTTCAGAGTGGCAAGCTTTATAAACATTCTAAATTACATACTGATCAATCAACTCAATTACGTAGTATGGTTAGAGCATCTAGTATCTTATAAAACTTACCTTTGAGGTCTGTCACCAGCAATTCCACCTTTACTAAAATAAAATATTTAAAGAATTCTAGAATTTAAATATTATGAAAAATTGATATTATGTCAAGTTTAACATTGTAAAATTACTCAAAGGCATAATATGTACCTGAAGAAATGCATGGCATCTTTGCTATGTAGAGTGGTTATTAAGTGCTCAGTGGTTGGCTCAGCATTTTTCTGTGTGTATGCAGTGAATTGCATAGAGTTCTTTTTTGATAAATATTTGCTGAATAAATAAACTTAGTAGATTGAACAAACACTGATAAAGTCATGTTAACACAGGCTATCAATGTGAACCTTGACAAAGCCTCATTAAGCATTTTAAACCAGTCTTCATTAAAACCTGAGTCTATATTAGAAATATGTATACAGATAAACAGATAATTAGGTATATAAAGTACATAATAACTCTGTAAGTAAATTTAGGTTCATGCATAAAAGAATCAGAAAGTTTATTTAAGGCTTTATGTCTAACAGGAAATATAGCAATCTCTATCTTTTCCATTTTGATGATAATTTGGATTCGGAGTAACATTTCAAGTGAAATTTCTTAAGGCACATTAAATATCCATTGTATTCAGGGCTATCACTCTGAGCGGATGCTGGTGGAATGTTGGCTCATTCTGTAATATCAGACTGTCGGATGGCTTTCATGTGTAATGTCTTCTCCCTATCATAACCTCTAGGTGGTCCCATAAGCAATTCTCCAAATCAAAGGACTGACAGACAATTAACATTTTGAAGTAGTTACTAAAGAAAGAACAGCATTAGAAACTTTGAGAATTTTAAATAGATTTTAAATCTACTTATACCATTAGGTATACTTTCTCTCAGGTCAGAAACGTGAAAAACACCTGGAAATACCTGAAGAGTTTGTTTCAAAGAATACAAATGGTATGTTGTACAGAAGCACTCGAAGTGCTAAAGAACAAAAACGAAACACTCATCTGGGCATCAAGAGATGTGTATTTTCTTCTCAGCGGAGCTAATGACTGGTTGTGTGATCCTGGACAAGTCACTGACTTTGTCTTGGCCCTTCAGTTTTTCACCTGTTAAATGAGAGAAGTCACAGATGCGTTTGATTATTGTAAACCCTGAGAGTTTAAGCCCTAATGGATTCTACAGAAAGTAGAATCAAGTCAGGGGAGTATGAAGAAGGCACCTGAGTTCTGTTGGCAAGGGAAGAAGTTGGCCATCAAAAGTTGGGGTGCAAGAAAGGTAGAGGGTCAATGTGCCACACATTGCTTCATGCTCCGAGGAATCTCCCTTCTACTGCATAACTTGCTAGCTCAGTTCTTTTGGTTTTTCTGATTCTTATCCACAGGACACTGCAATCACTTGCTGGATGGTGTGTATGTGCTCAGAGTAATCATTTTACATCCAGCGACTTAGAGTGTGGTCCTAGGAAGTGGCAGCATTTCAGCTGCAGAAAGGAAGAGGATCAGTCTGAGCATTCTTGAAGAAGATTGCAAAACTGCTTTTAGTTCATGTAGTGTATTTCTAGTCCAAGATTTCTTTTAATGGGCAAAAAGAGATTTTTAAAAGAAGGAGAAACTTGGATGTTTCCTAAAGCAACATTCAAAGCAATTAAATGGAGCTTTTTAAGCAACATGATCTTTTTCACTCTCACAATCTCCTCTTTAGCCTTAAGTAAAAACCAAAAGAGATCTTTGAAAAATGATGATTTTTTATATTTAATATATGATCTTTTCATGTTTCTGCTGTTGTATGCTTTTGAGCTGTCTAACAACTATAGCTATGTAGCCAGCAGAAGGGCAGACTTGTCTTATATCCTGTGAAGAGGTGACTACCTGAAGTGTGAGAATGAAAGAAAAAATAAGAATTCTATGAAAGGTTTTACTACAGAGAATATAGGGCCAAGACCTTCATCTAACCCTGGATACACATTATTCTTAATAATGCATACCGGTATCCTTTTTTTTTTTTTTTTTTTTGGCCAACTTTAAGTCATGAGCTTACAAAAACTGACAATATTTTACAGAAACAGATATTTTTTTAAAAAGCGTAATTCTATTTCCTGTATCTTTCACAGTTCTTTAATTTGAAACATATCACTTTTATCTCGTCTTGCTTTAACACCAGATTTGGTTTAATTAAATTTATGTCAAATGAACACATGAAACGAAAGGAAAATCGGAAAGCCTGCAGTTGCCCATTAGTGAGTCAGTGACTGCAGTGAAAGGCTTTTGAAGCCTGGCTTACTGCCAGGACAAGCTTGCAATGATGCTCGGAGACACCCATGATGCTTTGAAGGAAAGGACTTAGCTGACCTGAGCCTGCTCAATGGAATCAGTCAAAATCCTCATGGGCTGGATATAAAATCTGTAAGTCTTCTGTCTTCAACCATTTACCTGTCAAAGACAATGAGTAGGGGGCGTGAAACCACAATTCACATAGAAAAGTAATTGTACTAGGGCCATTTCTTCTTATTATGATTACAGCATTATTGATTATGTGGGTGATTTTGTTTGTTTTGAAAGCTACATGCCAAGCCTTTGAAAGGCAGTGCCAAACTGTCAATCCTTGGAGCTACTCTATCAAAACAATGTTTAACTTTGGCTCTCTTAACTGAAATACCCATCAATTAGTCAAATAATACATGCTATTAGCGAATATAAAAAGCATAACCTTCAGGAGCTAATATTTAGAGCTTTGCAAATTTGTCACTGTTAAAACACCTACGTTTAAAAATACATGAAGCCCTAAATGTTTTGACACTGCTGCTAAAATGCAAAGTAAAATCCCATGTCTCATACTGTTTCTGATACCACATGATCTTTGCGTCTTTGTACTTGAACACATTTATACATTCAGCTTCTGCACTGTCATATAAAAATATATCGAATGACTCCATGAATCAAATAATGATGTTTGTTCTGATTTTGTATTCAAACAACATGTCCTTAAAGGATACATATTATTTGCTTTCCTCTTTTTGCTTAGTGGGATCTGATCCACAGGTTCAGTTGTATTTTGTATTTTCATACTTTAGACATTAAAGGCTTTACACAAACTTTCAACACTAAAATAAATAACTCATTAGGGAGCAGCAGGGTGCGCTGATGTTAGTAAAACACGATATTTAAAAGTAAGCTTGGTTAGCATCTAGGAATATCAAAGGGACTAGGGAAGGCAAGAGAGGGCTATCAGTAGCTATTTTTTCTTTGTCCTGCTTAAAAATAATTCAAAGAAAGGTCTAAATGTTCCAAAAGTCAAATGGATATTACTGGAGGTGCTTCAACAATCCATTCATACCAAACATCATCAATGTGCTTGTTCAATTTCTAATTTACTCAGTTCTGCTATTCTCCTACAGGCATACTGTTTTATATTTTCCACCTCTTCTGTATGCTTTGCTTTTTTTCCCCATTATTTCATTTATAACTTAAAATAAAAGTAAAACAAACCAAAAGTAAAAACCCTCTAAGGGTTGCGATTTTTCCATGTGAAAAAGATTCCATTCACAGATCCAACGTGTCTTTCTATGTTCTAAGATAAGTGTCTGCACTGGAAAACCATATTAAGAGTTTCCTTCGGTAGAACATAATTTTGAGAAGAGAAATGATTTCTGCCAACAGTTAAAGATGAGACATCATTTCTTGGCCAATAGAAAAGTCCTTAATTTTGTGGAATCGATGAAATATGTTCATCTGGATTCTGCCACTTGCCTCTAGTTAGATATTAGTAGTCTTTTCATTTTCACGAGATCAAATAAGATATGAAAATATTCAGTGTTTGCAAATTCCACAGGATATAGTACAATCCTAGTAATATAAGAAAAAAGATGGGTTTAATTTGCACTCACATTACCTCTGATGAGGTTGAAAATGTAAGTTTATATTTAAATAATTTACTCCTTAAAATCATTCTATCTTTGTTCTCAATATACATTTAACATGTAAAATATTTTATAACACCAACCACACTTCTTTAAATGTACATACTTATAACTAAAAAGGAAGAACTGCATGTTTATGAAACAGGAATTATTATACTTTAATTCAAAATTCTCAGGGCCATATTTTTCTGTATAAAATTTTGTCAGTTCTTTCAAATATTTTGTCTTGTAAAGTATGAATTATATTATTTGTTACAAATTGCACATGATCATGATAACTGAGAATAATTTTTAAATGCTCTAAGAGGCTAATAATGAAAGTTTTAAGAAATTGATTATATTTGTCAACATGATATGCAATAGTCTTGCTTGCTTTTTATTGTGTTAAGATATTAGATATCTGCTTTACTTTATTCTTGGAGACTTTTTCAAAGGGTTAGAGAAGAAAATAAGCAACCACTCAAAACTATCCTAGAGACTGCGCAGAAATATTTATTTTATCTTGCAAAATATTTGCCAAGTAAGGTCTTTTCCAACCAGAATACATAATGACCACAGTATTCAGGCAAATTTTATCTTTTTTTTTTCTTTTCTGAATTATTCTAGCAATTGTGTAGTAGAGCTTTTCCCCCTGGCACTAAGGACCTAGTCTCTTTATTTCACATTTTAAAACCAAATTGCCAGAAGTGTCTGAAAGACTGTACTTCAGGGGGAAAAAAAAAAAAAGCACTTCAGGGCCAAGCTTTTGCTAACACACTGAGCATTAAGAGATGAATCAAGGGCGTAACAGAATGCTGAGAGCACCTTTGCACTGGAATCAAAGGCACATCACGAGGAGTCAACATTTTGCCTGAAGTTGCTCGCTCTGACTCTCCCATTGCCTGTAATAAAGTAGCTAAAAGGACATTTGGGACAATCCTGGGCCAAGCAGAGCTGTTTCAGATCCACCTAAAAAATCATAGCCAAAAGAAAAAGTGATTCTGAGAAACATCTCAATCCAATTCTTTATACCTGTCCATAGAGAAGAAAACGTATGGTGAGGCATGGCCACACTTACTGGGATTGAGGTTCAGTTAGTTGTTGCTGAACAGACTCCAATAACTAGCCACCAGTTTGAACTCTGCCATCATTTTGATTCAGTCAGTGTTAGTTTTGGAGTCTCTGTTTCACTAAGATGCAAATTCCCGAGTTGTATTTTCTGATTTCTTCAGGTACTCAAAGTGGAAATTTTGGGATGAAATGACAAGATAGAAGAACAAAATAAGTCTTTTAAAAATGATCCATGAAGGTGTTTTTTTACCCCATGTAGCTGTCAACAGTAAGAATATCCATCAGGAAGGGCTAGTTCAAAGTAGAGATTAATACAGAAGCCGTACGGTTCTGATTTTGTTAATGCCTCACAAAGTGTCTTCATATCACTGCCAAAGAAAAGAAAATTGCTCACAAATGCCATTTATTCATTTATACTTGTACAATGAAACAAACAGATCAATAAATGTATATAAAGCAGTTGAAGCGTTGAGAAACCAAACTTCATTGCACCAATTTTTTGGTTGTATAACTAACTGCATTCCTAATTTCAAACAGATGCTAAATTGCAAAGACAGTCCCATAATTTCAGGTACCTTTTCAACACAGAATTCTTTTTAAGAATTAAAAGTAGATAACTCATTTTCATATTATCCCCTAAATAAAATAAATGAATATATAAATATGTTTATTTTCTTAGGTTAAAATGGTGCCATTGAGAACAGATGGTTAGAGGTTAAAAAAACTGTTTCTAATATAATGTTAGAAATATGATTATTCCTCATATAAAATGCAAAATATTTAAATGGAACAAAGATCTTATTTATGCAACTCTAGCTTAAAACTCAAATGAAAGCATTTTTATTCAACTTGAAGATAATATTTTTTTCATAACTGCAGTTATCCACAGGAGAGCCCGTGTCACTTTCGTTTTTTAGAACAATAGCTTGTTTTGTCTCTTGTCAACATTGGCATGTAAAATGCTTGTAGTCATATTTTAGAAATCACACAGGGTTCGTCTTCAAGTTCTGTCATTACAAATCTCCTAATTCTAACAATATAATTACAAAATATTAAAATGTTCACAGCAAAGGGACATACAAGTTTGAAGGTTCCAGTCAAACTGATTATACAAAATGATAACACTAAGGTTGTCCCAACATAAAAGCTGACAAGTCAAAAGTGGGGATAATGTGCATTTTCACTAACAAATAATAAAGATTCTGTGCATCAGGACAGCCATATTCTCATGATCAGAGCCATTACTGGAAGAAAGGGCTTTGATAAAGACCACTAATTTTGCACAGAGGCAAATTTGAAAGAAACAGTAAGAGTGAATGTGCCCAATCCACCTCTAAAATATTAATTAGTACACCTCTGGAAAGATGAGCCCTTATGTTCCAGTTACAAAGACAGGGTTCATTCACGAACTTAGTTCAACATTCACCCTGCATAGCGATGGGGTGCAAAAAGGAAGGCAGCGATGAAGTCACTTACAGTTTGCAATTCAGCTGTCATGTGGAAGTCTGCAGTAGGTATGAGCAAAATATACTGTGAAGAATATGTGGCTCAATATTATACAGCAAAATCGAACTTTGCAACTGCTTATGCATAATTAACTACCTGGGACTAGCCTGCTCTGGTGCACCACTTTATAGAGTAATAAAAATGTAAACTAAAAATACAGACTCCTAGGTAACTGTGGTCACAGTACAACTCTATCTTCCTTTGCAGGCTTATTATTTCCTGAAGCTGTGGCTGACAGGTTCTATGAGCACACATTTTTGCATATATTTTGTTTATGTGCAAGCCTTGGCATTTCAGCCATCTCCTGCTGAGGCCCCTTCCAACCATATGCTTCTGTTTTTCTTCATTAGGTGATGTGATCCCTTTTGACTGTTGCATGCACGTGAAAGGACAGTGGGCTTTGGGGGGAGAAGAAGCCCTGCTTTAAGAGAGTACACGTCAGTTGGCCTTCAGCTGTTTGGAGTTGATTAGATCTGACAAGTGTTGAAGCTACTCATCGTAATGGATGTCTCTGCTTTAGCAGAGAGGGGGTGAAAAGGATGTAATTCCCAGTGAAAGAAAGCAACATGAACTATTATTTAATTACTGCTTAATATATAACTCCCTAGGAGTCCCTGTTGATTTACAGTTATAGCTTCTTCTTTTCTTTATTAATGGAACAATCTAGCCTTTCAATGCGATGTGGTTGAACCACACCTGTTATTGATAGGGACTTTCCCAAATGAACAAGGCAAATAATCCATTATAATACCCAAGCATGTATGATTCTGAAATGATTAATTTCTTTTCAAATATAGAAGTTACTGTTTTCACCCCATTAAAAAACAAAACAAAAAAACAAAAACCTTGCGCTAGTATTGCCCAGGCTTATTTCTTTCACTGGTTTAGGATATGGTGTGCATATTTCTGAATACTCTGAACACCAACCTTTTTAATTCTCTAGATTCTAGGAATCAATTAGGAGCCTCCACTCTCTCCTTCCCACTTCAGTTTTCACACCAATAGGATGCCGAGTTAAGTAGACATAGCTTCGTATTGTTCTTTGATCACATGCAATTTCTGGATGCCCCAAAGCTGACTATTGTCAACAATCCACCTTCTACACAGAATTTGTTGTCCTACTGGGGAAATGCAACTTTAAAATCTGAAAGTAGTATTGCAAGTCTGTTATTCATTTCCAAATTACAGTACTTTTTGGATACAAGTTCTAAAGTATTGTTTTCATTCCTTTCTTTTACTGGGAAAACAGTCAAGGCAAAAGAGTGATTGGGTTTTGGGTCTGGGTTTGATTCTACTCACATAGTATACTAAAGTTGCATACTCACTGAAAATATTTAAGCAGAAGGGTTCTGTCCACATATTAAATATATAGCAATAAGATTATTTAATTTTTTATTCTCTTCAATATATAATATGTAATAATTACATTGGTAATGTTTCTTCTATTTTCTTTTTTTGGCTACAGTTTATATATTTGCCTTACCCAATTTTGCTGAAGGATTATTCTTAACATATAGTATCTATAACATATAGTAGTTTATGACATTCATGCAAATTTTTCAACTAACATTTCACAAATACACATTAGCTTATATCATTTTTAAAGTATTTTGCTGTATCCACATGTAGGCTGATAAAACTTTGAAACTTGTGGCTTTCTTTTAAAGGTAGCCAATTCACTAATTTGGATATTATCAGAAAACAGTTCATATGATAATACTAGACTGTCTAATGTTTTTATACTCTACATTTTTGTTTTCCTGAGAAATTATCACATCCAGCTGACTTAAGTATATATAAAATAGAAGCAAATACCTCACAAATCACAACAACACAATTTTATTTTGAAAGTTTTCATTTAGGTTTTCCCAAGCTAAATCCTGACCTCTTCCACATATTTTAATGTTTTCCCTTGCAGTCATGTAGGGAAATACATTTTTTATCCGATGACTCTCATTAACGTAGATCTTTGATTTGTATGGAAGGAGGGTTTATTTTCCATTTGTGAGTATGGAGGCTGTTGCCTGTTTGCTTTGGAATATTTTATTACTTTGAAACAGAATGCAAGTGTATAATTTTGTGAATGATCTCTTTCTTTAGTTTACTTGTGTAAATATAGATCAAATATTGGTAATCTTGGAGAAGGAAGGGCTATTTACGTGGCAGTTTCTAAAATGAAATAGTAGCTATGCCAAATTGAACAATTTGAGCTTTTATGCCAATTAAACAGTTTGACTCCTGATATAAAACTTGATGGTTTGAAACCAAATGTTAAAAATAGGGAGCAGAATTCACCATATATTGTGAAGATAAAATTGTATTTTTAAGTTTGCAAAACAATTTTTTTTGTAACTAATATTACTATGTCTAAATTTTCCCTGATAACACACGAATGGTTTCTTTCTTTTGTGGTTTCTTAAGAAAAAATAATTTAATTAAAAATTTAATTCTAGCATTTTGAATGTAAGGTCAATCAAGCTTCATATAATTCCCAATGTTTTTACATTCTTACTTTTTTCTCTGTTCTTTACAGTTTTTTTTGTTTTCAGGGAGAAAGCAAAAATAAATAAATAAGAAAAGTAACCATTTTATGTCTTATGTGACAAGAAGTCATCGTCATTCATAATGAGAAACTAGGGTATTTCATTCCATAGTGCAGCATAGAGCAAAAACTGCTGATTAAATTCAAAGTGTAAACTCCCTCAGTAATTGAGCTATAACAAAAGAGTATTGAAAGAGTAGGTGGGTCTCTTCCCCCCAAGACAAGTATCTTACTGTTAATTAATCTGGTTGGGGGATTATGAGATAGAATAATTTACAATACTACATTTGCTATACAACAGATCATCTTCTATTTTAAGGATTTTTTTCATGATTTATGGGATTTTACAGGTTTAAAAGAGAATTGAATTTTAAAAAAGTTTCTATGTGGATAAATATAAAGCTACCTAAATCATACAACTTTGCTGATGCAGAAGAAATTTCAGTGCTTAGGTCTGGAGGTAAGAAATTTCCCTCAGATGATCAGAAACATTAATATCCCTTTTGCTTCTACTTTTTTTAAAAATGAAAAACACACATACACACACACACAAACACACACACACACACATACATACATACACACAAACACACACACACATACACACACACACATACACACACACACACACACATACCCCAGGTTACCACAGCTGCATAACAGGCTCCTGTTGGCCCTAAGGACAAATTCCTGGGTAGTTTTAATGACTAAAAGAATTCTAATAAGAAATTATTACTTAAGGGCATCAAAATCCCTTATAAGGTAAAATATTTTAAAAAGTGTTTCTTGTCTCATACTCCCAGACAACAATAAAATAACCAACACATAAAATTTTAGGGAAGCAGAAAACACTTAAACTAGATTTTGTGTCTAAAGAGAAAATTTTATCCACAGAGCTCATAACAGATTTTGAGTTGCTTTTACTCAAATCAGAAAAAACACTTGCCATTACTTTCATGTTTTCAAAGCAAGTTCAAACATGACTATTGCATAAACGATGTAAAGGTTTAACCTGAATCAAATATATAACACTTGTCTAATTACAAAGAATCTTCATGAAACTCATACAAAGTATCCTTCTATCATTTCTGCAAAGAGATCTGTAGATGAGAATTTTGTACCACACAGATATTCGATGAACATTTAAAAGAATAAAATGATCTTTTTCATACATGTATCAAATGGATTATTAGTAGCGGTTAAAATAAAATCTTAGGTCTCCTACTATATATTCCTATTTGATAAGTATTTTAATTTTTATTAAAATAAATTCTTAGGTCTTCTAATTCCTATTTTAATTTGATCTAATATCCAGAAAGAATACTGCTGCCCAGAAATTCGTCTAGCAGCAGCAGTTTTCTCCAGTAATACACATGAATTGGATATCCGGTAGAGGAACGGTGGTTAGTTTAAGAGGAGACACATCAC